TAATTAATACGACTCTTAATCTTTATACACACAGATCTTATATATAGTATGTATATCGACACACGAAACCGTATTTGTGTGTGGTCTAACAAAGAATAAAATAATACTACAATTTTGAACTATATATGTGATATGCCAGCCAAAAAACTGTTACTCCATAATTTCTCAATAAAAAAGTCAACCAAATTAAATTCATTAATCAGGAGTATTTATTAGGGTAAATTACAACCACTCCTGAGGGGTAGGATAAAATTACGAAACTCCCCTCGTGTTGGATAATTACAACAACCCCGTTCAACTATATATTTTCTTACACGTCCACCTTTGCGGTTTCACATTTAGTGGAATTTTCTTGATGACACGAAATATTATCACTTTTGTACCCGTTTTATCCCATACGAGCTCCACATTTTGATAAAGATGATCATAAGATGTGGTTTTTGACTTGTATGTATCAGATTGTGGTGCATCATATATTGTATTTTTACACAAAACGAGTACAAACTAGAGCGCCTTCTACAGAATCTAGATGATTATGTTGAATTTGACACCATAGAGGTGGAGGTGTAAGAAGATTCATAGTTGAGGGGTAGATGTAATTATCCAAACAAAAGAGGAATTTTCGTAATTTGACCATACTTCAGGGGTGGTTGTAATTAACCCTATTTATTATTGTTTTGCATATTAGGTCGCATATTGTTTTGTAAATATTTAAAAGACTCAATAAACATGCATAGATTATCGCAAAACAATGTATTCCTCCGTTCCACTTTATATGTATGTGTTTTTGGTTATGCATAGGTTATAGCAAAAAACATAGGAAATCACTAAAATATCCTTGTGATTAATTGTTTTTTCAGTTAATTAATTAAGACACATAAATAGTAAAATTGAGAATAGTGCAATTAATGCTTATTGGGATTGTAAAGTCAAATAAAAAAAATCTTCAATGAGACAAATAATACGAGTGCAATATTAAAATTGTCATTAATTATTTTTCAACGAACTAATTAAGAGGGATAACAAGTAAAATTGAAGAAAAAAATGCAGTTAAAACTTTTTTGAAATTCTAAAGTGACAAATAATTTTAGATAAAAAAAATCTCCAAAAAAATAAATAAATAATACGAGACAGAAGGAGTACTTAACTAATTCCATTCAATGAATACACACAAAATAGATATACAAGTTGTAAATTATTGGACCTTACTTTGATCAATAAAAATGTGATCTTGTCTCCTTTCAATTCTCTATAAATGCAACATAAAGTAAATAAAACAACTTATAAATCACATTGTTTCTTACCAAGAAAAAATAAACACATAACAACATGTCACAAATCACACTCTTGTGTGTGCTTCTCTTTGCTTTTCTTTCTCAATCAATTTGTCTAAGCAAACTCACACTAAAAAATCATGGCTCCAAAATTAGGGGAATGTTTGTTTTTGGAAGTTCTTTAGTTGACAATGGCAACAACAATTTTCTTCCGAATTCTATAGCCACGGCGGATTATTCACCTTACGGAGCCGACTTCCCTCTAGGACCTTCCGGAAGGTTCACGAACGGAAAGAATGTTATCGACGTATTGGGAGAAAAACTCCGACTTCCGAACTACATTCCACCTTTTAATGATCCTTCAACAAATGGAAGTGAAATCTTGCATGGTGTTAACTTTGCTTCTGGTGGTTCTGGTATACTTGATGTTACTGGTGCACCTGCTGTAAGTTTTCAACTTAGTACAAAATTATTTGCTGCTGTAATAAAATAGATTTTCATTTATTAATTGATTTAGTCACATGATTATTATTATTTTTGCATGTTGTTGTGGAGCTATTATCATTAATTAAGTAATCATGTGATTCAGTTTCAGTCACATGATTCTATTAAGTTAGTTATATCCCATTACTCTGCGAACAATAACCCTTTACCAAAATTTCCGCCGTTTATTCCGGTCGGGAGTTTTTCGATTTTGGAACAATATTTTTCAATTACGAATTTTTTGAAATTATTTGTCTCGGAATTGGAATATGTATGAGATTCTGATTTTCGATCCGATTTAAGTGCCAAAAATTCC